GAAACTAAACTTTGAAGCAATATAAAAACTAAAAATAATGATTTCATAGGGGCGGTTAGTATACTTTTATTTTATGTATATATTATATATATATGGCGGCCATTTTGTATTTTGATGTGACAGCCCAATTTTTGAAAGGAAACTTTGTCACACCTCGATACAGCCACACACCAAAATGGAAGCTGTCCCGTTGCTTATTTTTCCAAGTTATCCAACTCCCAAGGTTTTTATATATGTGGCGGCAGCCATCTTGGATTTTGACGTGGCAAAAAGGAAACTGCGTTGCACCTAAATGCAGCCACACAACAATCTGGGAGTCGACGCCTCGCTTGTTTTTCAGATTATTACGCTCCCAACATGCACAGATGGATGGAACGTTTTTCCAACTCCCCCTTTTCACTCTGCAACGGGGAACAAAAGGGTATTACCATTAAATGTGTGGAAGGTCTACATCTGCAGCAACCTCAAAGCCCGCAGGCCAAAATTACACTATTATAAAATTGCAGCTGTGGGCCGTAGAAAATCACTCCAAGGGCCGCACATGGCCCACAGGCCACACATTGAATGCGCCTGATCTAAAGATTATTTCCTGAACGTTTCAATAAAGTGTGTCCACTGGTTCCTTTGAACAGCAGGAGATAAATATGATGAAGTTTTATGGCTTCAAACAGTAAAACGGCTGTGATTTATCGCAATCTGACACCTCGACACTGAATAATCCACACCCCCGACGCCGAGGACCGAAGGGAGGTCTTAAACGCACCAAAACTCAAATCACACACGGCTGACTTTCACAAATATCTCCTAATTATGTCTGGAAGTGCACGTGACGCCTGTCTGCCACGAAGAGCGATGATGAGAACTGTCGAGGGGGGGTTAACGGAGGGTGTGGGGGGGTGTCATGGCTGCCAATTAAAATCAGCCGCGGAAGTGAAGGAAGCACCTCGTTCCACCGCCTCTCCGTATCTCCACCGTCTCACTCATCACTGTTAATAATTGATCAAAGTTTGCAGTCTCCGCTTTGATATATCCATGGCAACGGCCCTGTGTGCGTGTGCATGTGTGTGTGTGTGCATGTGTGTGTGTGTGAGTGGATCTGAAACAGGCTGTAAATAGTCTGCCTCTGTCACCAGAATAGCCGTAGAAACAAGCCGCTCCGTCACCGCGGGGCTATCTGCCTCGGTTTAAGAGGACAGGCTGGGATTAAGTGTCGAGCCTCATGAATATTGGACGATGTTGAACAAGCTTCGTGCTCCCGAACCCTAATGGTCACAAAATACTCTGCGTGGGCGTGTTGTCTTTCCCCCGCCTGCTAAAAAAAAATTTATATAGAAAACAAATGTAGCCAAGAAAAAAGTTGCTCCTGGCCCCGGTGGATTCAGGTTTCTACAGAGACGAGCAGATCTGCTCCCGATGCAACAGGAAGTGGAGACAAGCATCACGGCTAAAAACAGGGCGGGGCTAGTTTCTAACCATCAAACGCCTCCATATGTTTTAAATCGATTTTCAAATGTTAAATATCATTTAATTCACGTTTCTGCTCACATCTTTGTATTTGTCCTTTAGTTAAACTATGAAACCAACGATTGGATTTACTTTACAACTTTTTAGCTTTGGAGTCAAGATGGCCGCCGATGTTACAGATAATGAGTTAAATTTGGTGTGGTAGTAGCCGAGGGTCATTCATTTAAATATTTAGAACAAAAAATGGCTGCGAGTTCCTCCAAATGACAGAACAAAGGAAAGTTTACGTAGCTGCAGGAAAGGAATGGTAGAACTTTTATTTTGAAAGTATTATCAAGCGGAAACTATAGTCTAGGGGAAGAAAGTAAAAAAACAGGAATCAGACTTTTTTTTTAATTAATTTGAGTTTTCTCTTGTAAATTTACCCCCAACATTTCAGAGAATATCCAGATGTGTCTTCAGTAAATTTAATTGTGTTCATTTTTTCCTCACAACTTTACAACATCGGAGCAGACCCAAGTTTTATTTATTGATGAAAATTTGGACTTTTTACTGCAATTTTAAGACTTTAAGAGAATATTAACGTTTATCCACATAAATTTACATCATTATCGTTTCTGAGATTTTTCTAACCAGCTCCTTTTAATATTTATATTTTATTACAGCGGCCCAAATGTGCTAACATATTATGACAAAAACAATTTTCACAAATTTGCAACCAGCTGGATGGAAAAACTATGTTATGAGTATGAACAATTTTAAATTCCCTGTTAGTTTTGGTCAGAGCTATAAGGGGCCACTGGAGGGGGACCAGCGAGCCATATTTGGCCCCAGAGCCACAACTTGCAGAACCACAAGTTAGAGAATATCCAAATGTTTCATTTGTGAGTTTCTAAAGTAAAAATATAAGAAAATATCACTTTTTACTCTCAGGTATCTTCATATTCAAACACAACATTTTGACTTCCTTTCTTGCAAACAGAGGTTTAAAACTTAAGTTTATTTTTTTGTAAATTTATGACTTTATTGTTGGAATTTCTGAAAAAAATGCTCTGAACTTAGCCCTGCCCAGCACCTCCTGTCATTTTTATTTATTTTTATTTAAAAGCCATTTTAGCCATAAAACTGGACAACACAGACTAAAACCAGCTTGTTATGGTGGTTATGTTTAAAAATAAGTTTATTCCTGGTAGTTTTGGCCACCGGAGGGGGACTAACGAGCCGAAGGCTGCAGCTAAATGACCTCCTCGCTCCTGAACACATCCGGGGGACGAGCCGAAGCTTCCTGCCCGGCTTTAATTGACAGAATTCAGCAGCGTCACTCAGACGCTGCTCCTGCAGCCGTTTAAAGGATCTAGTCGTTCAGCTGGAGGCGGCGGCTCCTGAAGCAGGAGCGATGCTCCTGCCGCTCCCCGAGGGTTGCTTCGTCTTTCTGCTCGTGTCCTCACTCGGAGGAGACGAGCGTTTCGTGTTTGATTGTGAGGAGCGTGCAGAACAGGGCGCTCCGTTCTGCAGCACATCCACCGGATGAATCTGCGCACATATTGTCACAGAGCTTGTTTGTTAACGCCGCTCGGCGGTAGCTGTGTTGCCATGCCAACGCTGCCTCTCTCACACACATCCCCCCTCTCCCTCCCCCCTAACTCTTCTGTTCAACAGGATTCCAATGCAGGGCCGCGCGCACCAATCAGAGGAAAGCTCGCAGAGGATGTTTCTAACCAGTTAACCGTTCGGTGTCTCGGCAGAGTCTCCGGGCGTCCGTCCCGCAGCGTGATTGATAACAGCCGAATCGGTCCTCGGCTGTTTTTATGCATATGCTGAGAGGAAAACGGCAGAAACTTTCAGCGCAGATGCATGCAGCGTTTCGGCTCTGAGGGTGGTAAAACTGAAGGGTGTTAGATTGATGACATTTTGAAATACCAACATGATAAATGATTGATGAGCAACAAGCAGGAGGTGGGTCTGCTCGCTTACCGCCGTTCAGCGCCGCGTGAGCCGAAGCTGCGGCTCTACCTGTTTTCAACAGGGTGACCTTCTATCAGACACTTTTAAACAGCTGAAAGTTGGAGAAAATAAAAACAACACAGCTGCTGTCTCATCTCAGAGCGGGTTAGTGCGACTGCTCCTGACAAACTGATAAAATATATTTTAAAAGGCTTAAAATGTGTCAACATGCAGGTTATTTTAGCTACATGGCCCGGTCTGCAACCTGCGGCTCCGGGGCCAACTGTGGCTCGCTGCAGCTTCCAATAAAAAGAGCAGAAAAAAATAATATTTTTACTTTAAAAACTCCAATAAAAAGGTATTTTTCAGCAGCTCTTCTGTACTTTATTGACTTTATTTAAAATAAAAGTGAGCAAAGGAAAACATGCTGATCTGTTCAGTTCCTTCAAACATCGTTCTCGCTGAAATCTGCTTTAAACCTCGTATTTTTTATACTTATGCAACAATTCCTGCAGGATCAGTGAAGTTCTATCTTATTTTATCTTGTCTTACTATTAGCTTTCAGCTACTGTTCTGCTATTTAGCCATCAATCTGCTACTTTTAGCATTTAGCTATCAGTTTGCTGCCATTAGTTTTCAGCTACTTCAAATTTATAGTTTCGTTCTGCTTCTTTTAGCCTTCAGCTACAATTCTGCCGATTTTAGCTTTAGCCTGTTTTGCTACTTTTAGCTTCTGCTCATTTTAGCTTTAGCATTTGTTTGCTGTTTTCAGCTACAGCTTTGCTAATTTTAACTTAGCTTCGTTTTGTTACTTTTAGTTAAAATATTATAAACTTTAGCTACTATTTCTTCTGTCTTGCTTTAGCATTTGTTTTGCTTCTTAAAACTACTGCTTTAAGCCTTTAGCCACAGTTGTGCTACTTTTACTTCTCAGTTATCGTTCTGCTACTTTTACCTTTTTTAATTAGCTTTGAACTAATTCTGCTTTTTTTAAATTAGCGACTGCTTTGTCTTTTTTAGCGTTCAGCGACGGTTTTGCTATTAGCAGCTACTATTGCAAGAATTAGCAACTGTTTTGATGCTTCTAGCTACAACATTTAGCTTCTGCTACATTTAGCTTTTAGCTACTACATTTTCTGAGGATTAACTGTTCATAAATACAAATCAAAATGGCCACCACAACCAAGCAGCATTAATAGACACAAAAACAGCTAAAACTGTCAGTTTTACAGACGCTGAGCTAAAATTCAGTGTGGTAGTAGCTTAGGGTCGTCCCCAACACAGACTCTGAGGACGTTTGTGTTTAACCTTCTTCATGAAAAGATTTAAAAAAAAAAGATTTTTCTCTTTAAAATAAGAGTTTAGTGTTTTATTTTGTAAAAATAAAACAATAAATGTTTATCTTCAGGTTTGGATGATTTGTTCTAATGAATTATTCCTGCAGCTCTGAATTAATTAAATTAAATTAAATCAATTAAGGTCAAAGTGTTGGAGGCTCAGATGAAATGACCCTCAGAGGAGGGGTGGGGGGCTGCCCCCCCTGTCACCATAGACCACCTCCCGGACACCCCAGCTCCTCATCAGGAACTCACCATGCTGTCGTAGTAGATCAGCTCCAGCTCGTAGTCCGGCAGGATGTCGGTCCGGTTGTTGACCAGGTCCAGGGCCATCTGGGCCGAGGGCAGGCACGCCTGCCCCCCCGGCCAGCCCCCGCTCATGGGGAACAGAGCTCCGATGTACAGCTTCTTCTTCCCTGCGGACGGAGGAGGCCAGAGGAGGAGAAGGAGGGTCAGAGAGGTCCGGAGGAGCCGGTTCCGAGGACCGGAGGATGACAGCATCAGCAGCATGGTGCTTCAAGGTGAGCCGAGCCGAACCAGGCCAAGGTTAGCCTGCTTTATTTTGATTTTATTGTTCCGACTGAGCAGCTGGAGGGATTGGAGTGAGCTCAACACGTGTCCGGACCGGAGCGGACCGGGACGGACCGGGACGGAGTTCGAGTAGAGAGAAAATCTGATTAATTTTCAGACTCAAGTATCTGATCCGGTTCTTTTGGGGGGTTCTGGGTTAAACATGGTGCTTTTCGGAACCGAGTCGGTGCATAGGGATCCGGGAGGAGGACGCGGAGCCAGACGGACCCAGATGATCCCGCAGCTCATCTCCACATGATGAAGGAGGTTCTGCGATCCGGACCCAGAAAAACACGATCATAAAAATAGATCCGCGCGTCTGATTCTGAACTCACGACTCTTTGTTTTTGCGCTGGACCGGAACGCGCATCGGAGCCGACAGCAGCAGAGTCCGCGTCAGATGACGGACAGGTTCGACGAGCCGCGGACGGACTGGACCGGCGGATGGAGCGACATTTTCTCCCCGCGCGAAGGCGGCCGTTCCCCGGCGGAGGAGCGGATCTGCGGGCGCAGAGATGGAGCTCTGCGTCTGATCCACTGCAGCACCGGCTCACAGTGAGGGAGGGGGGGGGGGGGGGGGGGCCCCACCCTAAAGTTTGCTGACATGTCTGTGACGAGGCTCAGTCCGAATACAGCAGGATTACCGAGGCGCGTGCACAGCTCCTTTCATCACAGCTGAAGTTAGATTTTAAAAACTTAAAGGGATATTCCGGACATTTTGAAGTTGCACAGATGTCTGTCGGCCTTTCTCGGCTCGGCTCCGAAGCCTTCTCATTGGCTGATCCGACCCGCTTCCAGCTCAACAGAGCCGAGGCTCTGACGTCAGCAGACTGCAGGCCAAGGATTGGCCAGAGAGACTGTCAATCATCAGAGCATCCCAAGAATCAAATCCACTATTTTTAAAACCTCTCAACCGCGGATTTTCTTTTTATTTACTTTTTGAATAATATATTCATTAAAATGGCAACATGTAAACCAACACTCAGATGAAGCTAGACCAAATGGACTGGATTTAAAGGTTCTGACCGGCACGGGGAGGGTGACATCGACTCGGCCTCAGCATGTTTGGAACCCGTGGCAGAGGACGGTGAGTGTTTTGTGAATTTATTGCACGTAGTTGCTGCTGTGTTGTGTTTGTCTTGCACAGAAAATAACGTTGCTAAAGTTTTGGCGGCCACAGTATGACGAACCCACAGACTCCGCCCACATTAAGGCGGGACTCAAAAAGAAAACCACAGATTGTACATAATGTAGACCTTAAAGCCACAGAGGGTCGTACTGAGACTGGACACTAGAAAAGTTTTGTTTCATTAAATCCTAAAAGTATTTATGGTTTATGCTCTTTGACACCTTTGTCAAATTTTACCCAGTTAGAGGGACTGTTAAAAAATTAACTCACTTATAACCAGTTAACAGTTAGGTCATCAGTTACCAACCTGGTAACCAGACAGACAGACTGGTAACCAGTTACCAGACTGTTTACCAGTCAGACAGATTGGTAAACACCCAATAGTATGGTAACCAGTCAGGCAGACTGGTAACCAGTTAAGACAGACTGGTAACCAGTTAGAAAGACTAGGCTAAATGTAAGTACCAATTTATAGGCCAGTAACCAGTTAGACAAACTGGGAACAAGTTTACAGTCTTGTAACCAGTAAATGTCTGGTAACAAGTTAGACAGCTTGTTAACCAGTTAACAGGCTACTCACCCTTTAGATAGACTGGTATCAAGTCAACAACCTAGTCACCAATTTGACAGCCTGGTAACCACTTAACATACTGTTAACCAGTTACACAGCCTTGTAACTAGTTAACAGCTTGGTCACAAGACAGAAAGGGCAACAGGCTGGCAACCTGTTAGACACTTAACCAATTAATGGACTTGCCATCAGACAGACTGGTATCCAGTTACCAGACTGGTAGATAGTCAGACAGACTGGTAAACACCTAACAGTTTGGTAACCAGTCAGACATACAAGGTTAAAGGCTGATAACCATTTTACAGTCCAGTAATCAGTTAACTGACTTGTTACCAGTTTGACAGACTGGTAACAAGTTTAGAGCCTTGTAACCAGTTAAATGACCAGTCTGTTAACCAGTTAACAGCCTGGTCACCAATTAGACAGAATAGTAAACAGGCTGGTAATCAGTTGACAGGCTGTTACCCAAGACACACAGACCAGTAAACAGTTAACAGGCTGGTAACCAGTTAGACAGACTGGTAACCAGTTAACAGGTTGGTAACCATTTAACAAGTTATTTCTTACCCATATTACTTGTTTACTTTGAGATGTGTCATATTTGTTAGCAGTAGATAAACAACAACATGAACGACCTTCGTAGAAGCGCTGTAAATAAAGCCACAGAAGAAGAAAAGACTTTTGGCTTCCGCCCAGCAACACACCGTCCAACCCGTTCGGATGTTTTATGGTCCGTTCATTAGTTTTTCAGCAGATCTGAGAGCAGAAACATCTGAACTTCTCCTCCGGGCTGCTTCTGACCAACAAACGGAGTGATGAAGGGCTGCGTGACACGAACTAATGCAACAACGCTGCAATAAATTCCTTCTGATGAAGGTTTTAACGCTCACCAAGGAGCAGCCGAATATTCGCTGGTTCAAATTTTTACTGTCATGTTTCCCAAATTTATCACCCGCCTGTCAACGGTGTTTTTACACGTCTCGAGTCTCATGAATCACAGGACGGATTTTATTAAAAATTTCAGGAATTAATCACTGGGATGTATGTTTACAACTGATTAACCTTTGGATTTAATCTAATTCAAGATGGCTGCCACAGCCAGCTGACGTTAGGAAAGACAAAAATGGAGATAACTCTGTCAAATATACAGACACTGAGCTGAAATTTGTTGTGGTAGTAGCTTAGATTCATTCATAACACACATTGAGAGTAGGCCTGTCACAACAACCAATTTTGCTGGGCAAATATTAATTGTCTCAGAAATTATTGCGATAAACGATAATATTGTTTGGAGACCGTTTTAAACTAATGTAATGAAAATTAAATAATGAAAGTACATCCTTTCAAAGATCAAAAAACTTTATTTATTTTCCTCAATATCAAATAGCTTTTCTTTAGCTTGCTAACTCCTCGCAGGGCTCTAACGCTGCAGAGGTACAAGATGACGCCTTGGCTAGCTACCTGACGCGATATTTCACTCCCCCGTTACGCTAAGGAAACGAGAAAGGGAGGGATCAGTGAAGAGCACTGGAGTTGAGCCTTTTGTCATCAAGTGTCTTCAGTAGAACGAGAGAGACACGAAGAAACGATAAAGCCGATAAATTAAAATTATCGACCTCATTTTAATTTATCACGCGATTAATTGATTTATCGTTTATCGCGACAGGCCTAATTGATAGTTGTAAAATCTGGAAGTGTTGCATGAGATCGTCCAGAACGTTATTTCAAGATTGGGCCAAGGCGGCGGACGAGTTCCATTCCTTTAAGTTTTAACTCCTTAAATCTAAAGGTCTCTTACAACTTTTTTAAAGCTGATTTCCAGAGACAACAAGATATTAGAAGATATTTCAGCTGTTCATCATTAAATAACAATTTAAATGATTCAGTACTAGAAAAACGTAAGTAAGCATATCTGCAGGAAACAGGCAGCTGCACAGGCTGGTTTGCTTATTCTGTTTATTTAATGGTATTAAAGCATTGCTAACATTAGCCTCCGCGCTGTTCGGGCTGTAAATCTCAAACCAGGTGCCGCTCCTGGTTCACGTTTCAGGACCGCCTCGATGAAGCGTTGCAGTTCAATCAGCTTCGGTCTTGGCTGAGTTGAGTCGCGCTCCTCTCTGACCGTCATGTTTTAGTGTTGATGAGAGGCAGGATGGAGTCGCTGCACACAAGCTGTTCCAACCCTCTGTTCACGTCCTGCACAGACCCAGACAAACGTGACCTACAACCACAGCCGGGTTGAACCCCAACTCAGAGAAACTTGGGACGTTCTGTAAATTAAAACAATGATTTGTAAATCGCATGAACTCTTTAGTCACCATGGAACATGATAAACGTATCGAGGGCTGAAACTAAGAAATTGTATAATTTTGCGGGGGAGCGGCCATTTTGAATTGGATGGCAGCAACACGTCTGTGGTTTCAGGTCAACGTTTCCTCTGTGAAGTGTCCAGGACTTGAGTTGTTGGAAGTTCTGGAGGGAATGTTGTCCCGTTCTGGTTCGATGGAGAATTCTAGCTGTTCTACAGTCTGGGTCTTCATGCCAGCGGCACTAATGCACCACCATACCATCAGAGAGGCAGGCTTTTGAACTGTGAGCTGACAACAGGCTGGATGGTCCCACGTGGTTTCAGATATGGACCCGTCTGACCTCAGAACAGTTCTGAACTTCACCTCAGTCCAGTTTAAATGAGCTCTGGTCCAGAGAAGACGGCAGCAGGTCTGGGTGGTGTTCATCTGGCTTCTTCTTTGCCTGATAGAGCTTTAAGATGCATCTGTGGATGAACCGTGTTTACAGACAATGATCTGTGGAGGTGTTCCTGAACCCAGAACAGAACCAGACCTGGTTTTAATGCAGGGGCCCCTGACGGTCCCAAGATCACAACCCTCCCATAGTCGTCCTTTGAGCTCAGAGATTTCTACAGATTCTTCTAATCTGTGGATGAGATTATGAACTGGAGATGATGGAGATTAAAGTCTTTCATTCAGGACCTTTATTCTGAAATTCTTCCACTAGTTTAAGGCAGACTGCTGAACCTCTGCCCATCTTTACTTCTGACAGATTCAAGTCTTTTTATACCCAGTCTTCTTGAAACTAAATTTGCCTTTTTTTTAAGAACTTACTCTCTTTTTAACATTTTATATCTT